GTTCTCCTCTCATGGGCACAGGACAGGGTCTTAGGGGCAGTAGCACAGGCACCACTTGTGGTCGGCTCAGCCTCTGACCCTCAAGCCCACTCAGATCTGTGACCTAGCACTGTGTGTGCCCATGATAACAGCAAAGGCCATGAAGGCTTTTCTAGAGCCACCTCCAAGCACCCAGGACAACAGAGCAGCACATTCCTTAGAGAGTATCAGGAAAGGAAGGCTCCAACAGGCAAGGGGTAGAGCCATGCCCCCATGGGCCAAGATATCAGTGGAAACTGGACCAGAGTTGGTTCTGCTATTTGACCTAATTAGGTCCAGAACATAGGTAGTGCTTTATGGGGCTCCTGGAGGATCAGGGATTGCACCAAATATAAGGCCAGGGGTGAAGGCAAATAGGATGGAGATGTTTCTATCCCCTGTGCTCCCAGCCAAGGTTCTGCTGGGCAGTGGAGCCTAAGCTTGCAACATGGCCATGAGGAATCTTGAGTCCTAAGCAGAGATACCAATGCTATAGTGTCCCCCATCTCTTGGGCCCCAGTTCAGGGCCAAAGAAAGAGTTTGATGGTTACAAGGTTGCCGCAGACATCTCTGCCCAGTATTAGCAGGCTATAAGTGGCACAAGTTTCTTGCCCCTCTATAATTGGGCTGTGTATTATTTTAGGAGTCTGACTGAAGCGTTACATGTCTCAAATGGACATGTCAGTTAGCAGAGTTGGGCTAGGATTGCTCTTTTGCTAATGGCTGCTACCAAGTCTTAAGTCCTAGTCCATAGAGTAGCAAGATTCAGCTCAGTTCGTATCCAGCCAAGGTCAGCTTGACTCCAACTAAATTCTTCCCCTCTGAATTAACCATTTGTTCTGTTCTGCAAAAGATGTGCTAGTGCCCCTGCCTTCGATACTTGTTATCAGCAGGTGTCCCCAGGCCTGCCCAGTTCCCTTTCTTCTCATGCTTGTAACAAATAAACACTGGACGTCATTGTTGCCCAGAGCAGCTTGGATTTGCCCAAGACCCAGCTTCTCTCAAGTCTCTGTCTCTGTCTTTTGTTCTTTCTCTCTTTCCTATCTCGTGGATGTTGTACTGTCTTGTAGGAGATCAAGGCCCATGGCTGGCTGGGGATTTTAGTAACATTTCTTATACAAAGTGGGTACTTCTGTGTCAGGCGAGGTCCTCACACCTGTCCCCAGTGTCCCCTGTGATGAGCTCACATCCTCCAGTGCTATCATTTCTCCTCCCTGCTCTCATTACTTACATCAGTTGAGGGGTCTGTCACCTGGAATGTACTCCCATGTCAGGCAAGATGGAAGATCCTGGGGGTCAAGGGGCTGCAGATCCTAGCTGGTGGTCAAGGTCTTTGCACAAAGTGAACCATCTGCCCAGGGAGGTTGATCTGGGCCCCTTCACTTCCTGTCAGTCTCCCTGTTAAGAGGCCGAGTGACCTGACAGATGTCCTGGGGAGCCTGCCTTTTATGTTTAGCCAGCTCAGGCCACAGGCAAGGGAGGCAAGTGCATCTCCTGCCCAGTGCTTTTCCAGAGGGCACTGATTTCATAGATTGGTGATCAAGGGATATAATGATTGACAAGTAAATGACTGTGAGCAGAATCACCTCTGGCTGGCATCTGCTGGATCATTTAGAAATCCAGGCTTCCAGCTGCCCACCTAGGCTCCAGAGGCCAACTTGGTACCTCATTTTCCCAGGCTGCCTGACAGGCCAGATAATGGCTGGCTTTTCAGGATTAGTCTTCACAATCCTGCTGAAACCTCAGTGGCCCACCATATCTCCAAACAGTTTGTTTTTCTGCCTTAGCTATGTAACTTTGTAAAGGAAGAGAATTGGGTTTACCACTTGATGAGTTCAAAGCCAATAGTATACGCCACCAGGGAATAGGAGAATGAAGGAAGTTCGGTGACTTGCAGCTGGTAAGGAGCGCTCCCTGGAGAACTGCCAAAACAGTGTCCTCCTGACACAGAAGGCAGCTGGATTCCACTGGAGAGACTTATCCCATCCATGTTGGGAAGACTGGTCCTTATCTTATCTGTATTCCTGAGCATGTGGGATCACATTGCAGATTATGCTTCTTCCTGAATTCCATGGTCAAAAATGCTGAATGAGAACACATCTGGGTAGAGTAGAAAACTTAGCACAATAACATGTGCATCACCTCTTTTTTCTTTTTAGTACTGTTAATTGAAGCAAAGATCTTTGCACTGTGCTACATATTCAGCCCCACGCTTTTTTATTGTTTCTTTTGAGAGAGGGTCTTGGTAATCATTACGTTGTCCTGGCTGGGCTTGAACTTCTGATCATCTGGATTCGGCTTCCTAGAAAGTTGGAATTACAATTGTGCACAACAGTGCCTGCCTGGTTTACAACATGATTATAGCAAGCAAAGTTTATTCTACATCACTTAGAAGAGGAGCCATGCTGTTGTGCCTGGTTTAAACCAATTCCTTGTGGTCTTCTAAGGAGGACATCATCTGAAATTAATGAACAACTTGGAAGGGTGTTAGGAGTCAGCAGCTTTTTCTTCCCCCCACCCCAGGAAGCACAGGTTCTGAATCCTGTTGTCTCCTACCTAGCAGCTAACCATTTGGCAGAATGTCTCCTGGTGAGGAGCTCATAGTTTGGGATCGCTGGACAGTTGTCCTTGATCAGTGTCCCTTGGGGCATCTTCATCCTCTCAGGCTGTTCTAACCAACTACTTGGCAGCAACTCACATCCCAGACACAGAGACCTTCAGTGCCCAACAAACCCAAAGGCCTTGTGCCCTGACCACAGGCACTCATCACACCCTAAAGGCCCAAGCCCTGGTGAGAACACCTTAGAAAGGAGCCTGGATTCCATGCTTGTGCCCTGGGATCACTTTCTAAGCCCTCATGATGGATATTTGCCCTAATTTCATATCCCATCACTGTGCACCACTGCTCATTGAAGGTCTTAGCTGTTCTGACTTGGAACTGGAGGACAATTCCCCAAGCAGTGGACATGGTCTTCCCCAGCAGGCTGGCCCGTCCTTGGCCTGATGAGTGTCATTCCCAGGCTGGAGGCCCAGGGTAACAGTGCTCTCATCCCCTTTCAAACAGTATAGATACTTAGCTTGGTATGTTGGCCTCCCTTACTTCTTGAACTCGTGCGGAGTCATTTTTACCATGTGGCATAGTGCAGTAAATCTATGCACAGGATCAATAAGTGGCAGGGCAAACCCATGCTCAGCACAACCCCTCTTGAGGGTGTCTCCCCATGGACTCAGCCAGCTGTCTGTTCTTAATGTGTGGTGCCCTGTTGAAGCTGAGCACCATGAAGGAATGAGGAGAACAAGGGCAAGAGCAGGTGCTCTTGGCAGCACTGGGCAGTGAGGCAGCACTTCTCTGATGTGTCTGTTCTCCAATGTCTGTGTGGGTGTCAGGATGACCCTCTTGCTTTGATCAAGGAAGATCCTTGCCTAGTGTTGCTGAGTCAAGGTAGTGGTGCACATTGGCTGGGTCTGGCTGCCCAGTTAGTCATGTAGGGAAACACAGACTGTGCCCACGGCCCCCTGCGGAGAACATCCTCTCATACTGTCATTCTTTTCTTGTTCCCCTGCCTGTTCACATTGCTAGAGTTGAGGCCTCAGGGTCCTGAGCAGATGTACAAAGGCAGGAGTTGTGAAGGAGACTGAGGACTCCTTTGGAAGATTCGCCTGAATTTGATTTTCATTTTCTGCTCCATGCCTCAATCATCACCAGGTATTGGCAGTGTGAGTATGCTTGTTTCCCCCAAGAGAGCTGTTTCTGAGTATCTCGGGCAGTCAGCACACAGTGAGCTCTCTGTGTGTCCACGTTAGGTGGTGTATAGAGCAAAGTAGTATGAAAATACTTGTTCTTATTATAGGGCTGGGATAGGATTGGCCACAGTAATTTGATCTGAGTGTTCTTGGCTTTAGCACAGCTGCTACTTTGTGCATCAGGGTTGCATCTGCTTGAAGGACACCTTATCTCTTGACCTAGAACATCTCATGTTTATGCAGGATTTTGCTTGTCTTTGCTGTGGTTCTGTTTTGCTTTTTTTTTTTTTTTTTATGTGTCAGAACTTCATTTCTTTAAATTGTGTTTATTATTTATTATTTTTATTAGTATATCTTTGTGGTACATAATGGCGGGGAGTTGGTGCACTTAATGTGCAGAATGGAAATTAGGCCCTACCTGGTGCATTATGATCCATCAAGCATAGATTATTCTCCAGGCCACTTGTCTTGAGCACCCAGTACCTGTCCCCAGGCATTACCAGCATGAGGTCCAGCTCCATCTGGAGGATCCTTTCTTTAGGGCAAATGCACTGGGTCGTGTTGCACAGTCTGAGAGCCCAGCAGCACTTGGCAAGGATGCAGGAATCTCATGACAGCCCTGTGGAGGTCATGAGCTGCAGGCCGTGGATGGAGACTGATAAGATGGTTCCAGGCATTGTTGATGAGCACCAATTCAGGACATGGAGCTGTCTGCAGCCCTAACAGGTCCTTCAGGACTTGGGGATCTAGAAGGAAGAAGGTCTTATGGGAAGAGCTTGTCCTGACTCATCTGCCCCACTCACTTCGCTGAAAGGTGGGAAAACATGTCGGGGTTTCTGCATTTCAGGGTCCGATGTGACATGGAGGTTAATGGAGAGCCTGTGGTCACCCACCCAAGTTGTCCCTGGAGTGATTGTCACTCAGTTGGCACAAGTGCAGTGATCTGCTGGCCTCTTAAAGGAGATGACCCCTGCAGTTTATGCCACTTGACAGAGATGCCAAATTGAGCAAAATTCTAAGGGTGTTAGCTAGAGCATAACAGTAGATTTTGGACTTTGTTTCTCAAAAATGCTTAGTGAAGCTGTTGAGGTGTTGAGGCTCTGTAATCCCAGTACTCTGTGAGGCAAGAGGATCACACATTCAGACTGGTCAATTTCACTACACAGTGAGATTCAGTGTGAAATTTTTAAAAATTTTAAAATGGCTTGTGATGCAGCTCAGTGAGATGGCCCAAACTGAGATCCCCCATACTGAAACAAAATTTACTGACTCCTAAAATGGCTGAGTCAAGAGGATTCTGCAGTGTCCATGGGGCAAGACTGGACCAAATTCCCCTAGGAACTTTCAGCCCCTGGTGTCCAGAATGCTCTGAAATTTCACATATTAAAAATGAAATTTAATCAAGATCTAGAGAATGACCGTCCATCTTCAAATAGGTGGGGGATGTGCTGTCCTGTACTGCTGTCCTCAGAGATGTGACAAACGTCAGCCAGGATGGTTGGCTCACATGTATTCTCCAGAGAGGCTGCAGAGCTGCATTTCTCAGAGGTCACCATGGAATTCTGTGTCCCAGGTACTGTTCTGCCCTGTGGGTCGGAAGACCCCATCCATGGATGTGATCCTGTCTCTACTGCTGCTTCTGTGACTTTGACCCAGAGTCTTCACTGCTAGGATCTATCTTTAAAAATGACATTGACAGAGGCAGATGTTCCCTTCAGCTCAGGTATGGGGTGAAAACTTGGAAAGAGTCTAGAGCAGAGGTTGCTGAGACAACTGTCACAATGTGGGCACTGAAAATGCCAAGGGGTGGAGGATAACTGTGCCATGTCCCCAGTGCATACATGAGATGACAGGAGAGCTGCTGTCTGCCAGACTCCCCATCCCGCAGCTGAGGGATGCACACCTGAACCCTAAGACGAAGACACAAGGGAGGAGCCCCCGGGGGAGAGGACACTGTTCCTGTGTAGGATGACTATCTCTGTGTCCTTTCATTCATTATTCATTTGTTGCCGTCCATATTTTACTGTAATAAGTATTTATTGTCTAACAAAAACTAATGACAATTTATTGACTATGTGATAAGAAATCATTGGGATCTATCTAGGATTTTCCTTTCCTAGAAAAAGCAAGACTGAACAGTCCCTGCCCAGATTCTGTGGTCGAAGACCATATGGTTGCAGTATTGTGGAAAATAGGGCAGGAGAAGGGGGAAAAAATAAGAACCAAGAGAGTATGTAAAGGTTCATATTTCCAATGATGAATGTCATTATAGTGTATGCCTAAAATGTACCAATAAAATAAAATTTTTTTTTTGGTACCGGGGATCAAACTCTGGACCTTGTGCTTGCAAGGCACGTGCTGGAACCACTGAGCTAAATCCCCGGCCCCAATAAAATAAAATTTTTAAAAAAGAAAAATGTACAATAGGTAAGTTACAGGGACATAAGATGAGTGGTGGCCAGGATCTAGCAGGAGGGGAGAGGGGAGGAAATACCTTTGGGTACAGAATTGAGGGAAATGTTGTAGAATGGGACAGTGGTGAAGGTTGCACAACATTGCAAATGACTGAGAATGCAGTGAGCTGATCATTTTAAACAAGACAAAAATCTTAAATTTTATTTACATTAATTCTATCATTGACTTATCTCTGAGAAATAAGGGTAGCAATAAATACAATAATAAGTAAATCAGTAAGAGAGGGGAATGGCGGGTGTGGGTCAAGAGCTCTGTAGACCTCCCTGTAGAGTTCAAGAGATGAGATCTGCTGTTGAGCCACCAGGAGTTCCAGCTCTGCAGCTGGTGAAGAGGTTCCAGGTGTTGGCTCTCGTTGTGGGGCCAGAGCTGGTGAGGGAGCTGCAGGTGGAGTGGGCAGGAGGTCAGCAGGTGGGACTTCATCGGAGGCTGGAGCTGGCACTGCAATTGCAACAGGAGAAAAAATCAGCAACTGTCCAATCCCAGGGCAAAACCCTCCACCTGTCAGAGAGAGCTGTGTACACCGACATAGCCCCAGCAATCCCTCCCAGCCTGCATCTCCCCACTGACTCCTGAGTGTCCCAGTGTTCCTGGGTGACTCAGTATCTCCAAGCCTCACTGTGTTCCAAAGCCCATCTCCTCCCCACAGGCCCACAGGCCCATACCACAGTCCTCCTGGGGCTCTGCCTCAGGGGGTTCAGGAGGCTCCAGCTGGTCCAGGAGAAACTCACCCAGGGAATCCACCTGGGGGTTGAGCTCCAGTGAGGAGTCAAGGACAGAAGAGGTGGACCTGGGGAAGGCAGGTAGGCAGCAGAGTGAGAGGCTTGGTCTTTCCTCCCACAGTACCTGCCCAGTTCACCTGCAGGGATGGACGGGTGGGCCTCCTGCCCAGTCTGTGCTGTGTCCAGCCCCACCCACTTCCCACCCTCAATGGGACAGTGCAGTCCCAGGCAGCTCTGAGAGGCTGACAGAAGGCTTCTTTGGAGGGTGGCCTTGTTTGGTGGTGTGACACCTCTGCCTTCTTCAGGGAAGCCTGACACAATGTCTCTCTGCCCCTCCCCACTGGCAGGTCAACTCCATGAGGACAGGAATAGGTATCTGCTGTGTTATTGCACTCAAGGGCACAGGGCTGCTGCTCCATAAAAATCTGGTAAGTGAGGGGTTAGTAAGCGTCTGTGAGTGGGAGTGAGACTTGTCTCTAGCTTATGCAGCAATGTGTTGCCCAGTTCTCTGTGCCTTTTGGGGCTACCTCCTGTATTCTTTGTATCCACATTTAGGGAGGCCAGGAGCAGTAGCAATATCTACCTTAATGTGAGCAATATCTGTTCTGCTGCCCAGGCTGACTTTGTGGCCCCCAACATTGAAACCCAAAAAGGGTGTGATGGCATCTGCTCTTCTTATAGGATCATGGTCAATACCGAGAAAAGTAACTGCACCTAGTGTCTCTTCATGTTTATTTATAGATTTATGGCACCCACCTGCTCTTCCTATCCAGGAAGTCCTGTTCTGGGGCCTCTGTCAGGGTGTGCAGTGCATTTGCCTGCACCTTGCTCGCTGTGCAGCCCTCTGCCAGGCTCTGGGAATACTGATTTCCCATCTGTAATGAGACAATGGTGAGCGGTGGATACAGTGTCCCACCCATGACTTCTCAGTAGGGTTTTAGGGTAAAGCAAAGACCACACTCCAAATGGTCCCTAGAGGCTCATGCCAGAGGGGGCACAAGAGGGGCCCAGGAGAATAGGGATTCCCTTACTAAAAGTTCAGTTTCACAAGAGACACTTACAAATACTAGCATTATCAGACCAGCTCATTAGCTGTGGAGAGGTCGTATATAACTCCATGCATGAAAAACAGCCCACGAGTCCTGAGACAACCTCCCATTATAGAGATGAGAAAACAGAGGCTCATCTGAGGTGGCCCGGTCATTTATGAGGTCACACAGAGTGTTCCCAGGTTTCTGATGAAAAGTCCCCACAAAAGAATCAGGGCCGGCTTTGTTAGCCTAGTAAGGCAGAGTAGCTGTGTTGAACATTTCCCTTAAACAATGTCTTTTAGGCAAGGTGTGCCCCAACCTGTGACAGCAAGTGCCAGACAAACGACAGAGTAGCATGGGCCTGATGCTGTGGGCAAGCCCACCTCTGCTGATGTGATGATGTGTAAGAGCTGGAGACAGGGTAGAACTGTAGTCAGGGCAGTGCCACATAGACTCCTGTGCCTAGGATTTACAATGAGGTGAAATGGCAGAATTAAATCATGACAGGAAGTGAATTCTGATGTTCACACCAATGTGTGGACAGTGACCTTGCCCCTGGCCAAGTGAGTGGCTGAGCAGAGAGGATGTTGTAGACGAGAACATGGACCTCAGACTCCTTTGGGAACAGGGCCATGGGCCCGCTGTATACCAAGCCCTGGAGGGAGGGGCTAAAGGTGTTATCTGGCCCCAAAGGTCCTCTCAGTCATCCTGTGGCCCTCAGTACAGTCACTTCTGCTCACACACACACCCTGCCCCCAAGTTGGCATCTGATGTTATTGTGGGGCCCAAACGTATAGTGCAGGCACATGGCATACAGGCCCCCAGTGACCAGCTCCATGCTGATGTCATGTGTATATCTGTGTTGTGACAATGCCCAGCAGTTGGTAGGGAAACATGAGGCTGTACTAGACCATAGTTTGTGCTGTTTTCGTTCCAGATAACCTTGTGCTCCCCAAACAACAAGCAGCCCTGTCATAGGCTTCTGCCTCAGGAGGACAGAAGATGACAATGGAGCTGTGGACAACCACTTGGACACTGCCCTTCTCCTCTCTACCCTGTCCGGGGTGGGAATGTGACACAACTCCAGGCTCATAGCTCCCACCACCTGTGCCTGTCCAGGAGGACTTCTCTCAGCACCCTGTTCCCCCTCCCATCTCCCACACACTCTGAGGATGAAGTGCTGGATTTGGGCCAAGGGACTCACAGTGGTGTCCAGGTCTACATAGACCTGTAGTGGATTCGGTGCCTCTGAGCAGATGAAAGTCAGGCCTCGGGACACCTGCCCTGGGCTCTCTCTCGTCTCTGGGCATCTGGGGGCTGGGTCTGGTGAGACCTGCCCTGGGCTGCCCGTGACTGTTGGGTGGTTCCTGATGAGGGTCCTGAAGCTTCTGGGCCGAGTGAACCATCCTCTCACTCGTTGGCAAGTGGTTTCCCTGCGTGGGGTCCGAGGCTGCGGCCTGGAGGCCTGGGAAAGCAGCACAGCATGTTCGCTGCTGCCTATTTCCAGCCAAGTGACTGGGAGGGCAGTTGGCGCTAGACCGTGGTGCCTGGTGACAGGGTTCCAAGGTCTGTTTGGACCTGTCACCAAGGAAGTGAGGTCATGTGCTGGAGTCCTAGGCTGAGCCTCCCCTTCAGATAAGAAGACCCTATGCACCTCTGTCTCTGAAGATACAGTGCTCACTGTCATCACTTAGACATCTGTCAAATTTTAGAATGATTTTCTTTCTTGGGCCAATTTCAACTTCATTTCAATAAGGAGTATGGAGATATTTCAAAATTTTCCGTATCAGTTTTCCTTAAAAGGATATAAAAATTTTAAAGTATTACCCCTGCATCTATAGGAGTGGAAGATTCATAGGAGATTTTAAGTTTTAGGTGCATATGAATGATTACTTATTCATACATAGATACCAAACTCAATCACATTCTGTAGTATGCCTTACTTGACATGGTGTGAGGCAAGATGGCAGGTGGTGATTGCAAGGTGAAGTCTTTGTAAGGCTGTGAAGCTCATCACCCCAGTGCTGACAAAGAACACATGCACATATTACTTTCCTTGTGGCCACTGTTACCACTTCCTGTCCTCCCATCCCAAGCAGACCATGAGCTTTGCATCCCTGGTGGATAGTTTGCCTTTTCTAGAGGTGATGGGACTATAACCCTTCAATAGCAGTGTTCTTTGGTAGGTCTTACTGAAGCAGTGTCACCATGCTGCATTCCCCCTGTGCTGTTGCTTGTCAGTGGTGGAGCCATTGCACGCCATTGTGTGAGTAAAGCACAGCTTATTCATGTATCCATCTACTGATGTAGCCACTTGTCCTATTTCCAGGGTTGATCCTAAAAAGTGAAGCTGCCATGAATCTGTTTGTATAGATATAGACTTTCATTTCTTGGAGAAACACCTAGATATGAAATTGCTGAATCATCTTTCTGGTGTATATTCTGCCCCAACCTCTCTAGTGCTGGTTTCCATCCTCCAATCTGTCAATGCCCACAGATGCTGCATTTCAGATGGTCAAGGATGGAATGACAAAGGACTGCAGACCTGAAAGCTGTACCCCAGCTGCTCTGCAAACTCCACACATTCCTTCTGCTCATGACTCATCAGCTTGGATCTTGGTCATTCTTTGCAAATACAAAAGTGAGGAATAATTGCCCTGGGCTTTGGTGATTTTCTTCCCCAATAAAACTGAGTCTGTATTCTGAAGAAAAGGATCAAATGAAGTCAGGTGTACACAAACAGACTTACTTTACCCTAAGCTCCAAGAAGAAGGGGAGGAACTACCAGGGCCAGGGATTTAGCTCAGTTGTGCCTCACTTGCCTTGCAAGTGCAAAGTCCTGAGTTAGATTCCCTAGTACCAAAACAAACAAACAAACAAAACTAGGCACTAGTTCACCTGTTACCAAGGCAGGTCCTGCTTGCCTGGCACTCAATGTGCTCATCGCTGCAACAGCAGGTTTGCAGAAAATGTGATGATTCACAAAGTGGCTGTGCATGGAAGTGACCTCAAGCCTGCCTCCCTGAGGACAGGGTTTAGGGCATCTGTGGGATAAATAAACAGGTGAATGGTGATTAGAGGGCAAGTGTTCTGTGGTCTGCGCATACATAGTAGGGCTACTTGGTTCTTCATGGGACACAGGTTGAGAAAGTGGCAACCTCAGTGTGGTCTGAGGGAGGAGTTCTTGGACTTCTGATGTCAAAATGTCACCATCAAAAAAAAAGTCACCATCAGACATTTGTGCAGGTGCAAGCACTCCAGTGATCTGTAGTGTAGATGGTTTGAGCTAGACTAAAACAACCTCCAACTTCTTGAAAAACAACTAAGACAGCCATTCCCATTGTGACTGACACATCAGAGGTATTATGGAAGGCAAAGCTAGTAGGCATCTAATAATATATTGCTTAGCTATATAACCCTTGAAGTTGGTAATAAAAGCAAGTAACCAAAAAGCAAGGGAAACTAGAGTGCCAATCAGTTTTTCCCTGGGTTTTCCCCTCTATTTTAAGAATAGAGAGAGGGAGGGGAGGTGCTTAGCAGTACGATAGAAAGGTACAGAAAATGTCCAAATTGGTAAGCAGAAATAGAATGAATCAAACTTCAGAAGAAATAAAAGGTAAAGTACTTATTCATAACAGGATAAGGAAAGAATAAGTTCAAATAGTACATAGGTTGTCAGTATGATATAAACAAACCCTAGCTATACATTATTTACAATAAATAAATGCAAAGCTGCATGATAAAGAAGAGGTGGCTATAGTTATGTACTTAGGCAATAACAAATTAAAATATGGCAGGTCTGGCAATATTAACTTTAAAGTGTACTTTAAGATCTAACCTGTAATGTGTTGTGATGGAATGTGACGGTGAAAAGGAAAATTAGCCAGGTAAGGTGACACCTGCTGCAATCCCAGCACTCTGGGGGGCTGAGGTAGGAGAATTACAAATTCAGGCCCAACCCAGGCAATTTAACAAGACACTGTCTCAGTGTTTAAAAAGTGGGGAGAGGATGCAGTTCAGGACTGGGATCCATTCCTAGTATCACAAAAAAGAAAAGAAACTCTAACATGAAATAAAATGATGTTTAAACACACAGAGCAAAAGTGACTAGAATTGTACAGCAAGCTTAAGATAATAATACATTTGCTGGGGGAGAATTCAATACATATTTTTCAGAATTAGATCAAGTAAATAAAAAAGGATGCTACAGAGGAATAATTAATACATGTTATTTAATAGGTGAAGCTTCTTCTGTAAACAGAAAATATATGTCATATTCATATGTCCATGGAATCACTGCAAAAATTAATTACATATTTACTCACAAAACGTTAACCATAGAAGTAGAGAAAAAGGCCATATTTTTATCATCTTATAATATTGATAATAAATACTAATAGCATGACTAATAAAATACTGTACCATTTGAAAATTAAGAAACATGCTTCTAGAAACTCTTAGAGCATAGATAATATTAACAGGGAATTAAAAACTATTGAGAAAGCAATGAGAATAAGAGCCCTTCATTCTCAAACTTCTGGGACATATCAAAACTGTTTTCAGTGAAAACATTAAATTTAAATGCCTTCTGTGTTAAAATAGGAAGACAAAAATAGAAGGACTTATATGGATAAATACCAAAAGAAACCTGGCAGAAGGCATTGATAAAGATCAAAATAGAAATTAGTAGGCTAGAAAACCAATATATATTTGTATTTACATTTACTGTAGAAAGATGGGCAACCCTTCCCATGGATTGCTCTTCACAAACAAAAACTTGAGCTCATCCTGAGTTGAACTTTCCCTCGTAACGGAAAAGGGGACTAGTAGACATGTACACAATAAGGAATGAGAAACGAGACATGAATACAGGTCTAGGAGAATTAAAAGAATTCGGAAGAAAATGCACTCAATTCTCTAGCAATAAGTCTGAAGATCTGGAGGAAATGAATCCTGCAGCACCTCCTAAAGAGGAACTTAGGTGAAATTCGCTGGATGAAACTTGTTTCTGTCACTTACTGGCTATGTGGCCTTACTTAGCCTAGCCTACCTGTGCTTCAATTCCCCATCTATAAAATGGACATGATAATATTCCTTTACCTTGGGTGCTTGTGAGAATTAAGTGAGTTAATACATCCAGGGGGCTTTTCCTGGCACACAGTGAAGCCTTGGACATGGTGGTATTATTAAATAATGTGGGCACCACAGGCTATTTGCAAGAAAATAAACTTGGACTTCCATCTTTATATATAACATAAATTATTGATGGACTCAAAGTAAATTTTTAAAATCCTTTTTAGAAAAATCAGAGAATTGGAGTAACAATTTGAAAGCAGGGAAGACCTTTCCAAACTAAAATGTAAAAGATTCTATTTGGCTACATAAAACTTACATGATAAATAAAGTTCATGGACGCAGGATAGAGTGGGCCACACTAGTCATGCAGAAGGTGATGATTAGCAGAGCTCTTCAGCAAAGACAAGGAGCACACAAAACCCTAACAGAAGAAGCACCTGTGTGAGACAGGCTCCACCTTGCCCACAGGGAACAATGGAGAGCATGTACCCATCAAGTTGTCTGAAGCTACAGCAAGCTCATGGGCCAGCCTTGGAGGAAAGGCATCTGGCAACATCCAGAAAGTTAGAAATGCAAATATTCCCAGGAAACTCTGACATAGAAATAAAAACACCGGTAAGTTCAAGACATTCATGGAGCATTTGTCAAAAACCGGCAGCTAATCGATATCTTATCAACAGAGAATGTTATGGTCTTGTGCATGCTCCACATGATTCATACTGGTGTCAGCCAGGACATGAAATGGACCTGAGCTCTCTGGCTATCCTGGAGTGATTGTCCCCACATACCCCACAATGGGATCAGAAAATGCAGATAATGTATGTGATGAAACCTCTACGCCATTGGTGTTACTGGCTGCCTTAGCCTTCTTCTATGGTAACAAATACTTAGAAAGAGAAAAGGGTTACTGTTGGCTTACATTTTGGAGGCTTTCATCCATGGTCAGTTGCCCGCGCTGTCTGTGGTGAGGCAGCCTGTTATGGTGAGAATATATAGCAGGGGAAGCTGCTCACGTCATGGCAGCCAGGAAGTAAAAGCAGACAAGAAGAAGGATTGGGGTTGCAATAGCCCCTTCAAGGTTGTGCCCTCAGGGACCTAACTTCCTCCCACCTCTTAAAGCTTTCAACTTCTC